CAAAGGGGCCCCACGCAGATCCCAAGATGCTTCTCGTCATTATCTCGCTGTTTCTTCCGCAGTGATTGTTCTTCAGCCCCGATGTGTTCCTTGTGCTCATCCTTTCCAGTACAATGCCTCCTGGCCTTTTGTACCTCTGTTTCGCGAGTCGGCCAAGAACATTCCGCACGACATGGATATCCGCCGTGCGCCGTCTCTTGCAATGTTGTTGTCACAATAGTGTTGGCACGCCTTGTATCATCCCTTGGTGCCGATGGGTCGGTACGTCGCAGGGTATTGGTAAACAAGCGCACGCGGCGCTGGGGCTACAGCCACAGTTTGAACAGTGTGAGACGTTTGTGAATTTCAAGTTGCCGGATCATAATTGGCGAGGAAATGTCAGGCGAAACGCCCGACCTACGGACACGTTCGGTGGTGCGGCAGGGAGGAGTTATCCATTAGGAAAAGGAGCGGGGGAGGAGGACCGTTGCAAACCGAAGACGCATCAACGATGTTGCAATAAACCATCCCCCCGAGCTCTATTGTTCCATCGGTCGCTACAACATGCACACTGTTGGAAGTGCCCTGTTGGAAGACAGCCGTCTGAGATTCCCAAATCGCGTCAACATTCAATTCGTTGGATGTCATCGCCGCATGTCAACTTTATTAGTGCGTCCTGACGATCCTGCATCGTACCAGAACACCTTTCTTGGGACCCCAACGCCGCGAATCAACGTCGTGACTGTTGCGGCCTGGCAATCCTAGTTCGCGCCGGAACTCCATTCTGGGGGCGTCAATCACAACAATGCGCTTGGCCGCTGTAGACTGTTAGGACGAATGCACGCGGTGCCCAGGCAATAGCCACATGTTGAACAAGACCTGCCCTCCATCCGTTCCAATCCTTTGCATATTTGAGACGCATGTGCGCGGCGTTAAGGCTAGAGCCACATTTCAAAAAGATCCACCGTCCACCCCATAAGCTTCTGAAAAATATTTAGAGGAATGCTGGCGGAGTTAAGGCGAGAGCCACATTTTGAAAACGACCCTCCCTCAATCCGGTAAGCGCTGGCAACCTCTTTGAGACGGATTTGCGCGGCGCTCATGCGAGAGCCATCTTTTGAAAGCAACACGCCCTCCATCCTCGAAGCGATTGCCAATTTTCAAGACCGATGTGCGCGGCGCTCAGACAATAGCCACATTTTGAAAAAAAGAACCGTTTAACATCTTATAGCAAACTCTTGAAATGTCGTCAGGCGAATGCGCGCGGTTCTGAGGCGAGACCCACATTGTGAAAAAGAGCCGCCCTCCACCCGCGAAGTTGTTGAGGACTTTTGGGACGGATGTGCGTGTCGCCGAGGCTACAACCAAATTTGTAAAAGAGACGCCCTCCACCCGAGAAGTTCATGCGTATTTTTGACACGAATGTGCGCGGCGCTGGGGCGAGTGCCACAGATTGGAGATGACCCGCCTTCTACGCTTGAAGTTTTTCAGAACTTGTAAGACGCATGCGTGCGGCAAGTAGCCCAGAGCCGAAGAGGAACTGCGCTCCGCCCGCAAGGCTCCTTGGTTCTTGCATACGTTTAAGACGACGCGCGCGGCGCTATAGCGAGAGCCACGTTTTGATAATGGAGCCGCCCTCCAGCCTTCAAGTTCTCGCAAGCTCTGAATGAAGACGAGCGCGCGGGGCGCTGAAGCGATGAAAAGGAACCGCCGTCCATCTGGCAAACTCTTGAAAGCTGCTAAGACGAGTGTGCGCGGCGCTAAAGCGACATCCACAATTTGGAAAGGAACCGCCATCCACCCGGCAAAGTCTTGAAAACTTGCAGGGTGAATGTGCGCGGCGCTGAGGCGAGAGCCATAGTTTGAAAACGATCCGCCATCCATCCGTGAGACTCGTGCAACCTCCTAAGGCGAATGTGCACGGCGCTCAGACGAGAGCCACATTTTGAAAACGACCCGCCCTCAATCCGCGAAGCTCTTCTAACCTCTGAATAAGAGACTGTGCGCGGCGCTGAAGCGAGAGCGACATGTTGGAAACGACCCGCCTTCCATTCGTGAAGTTGTTGCAAATATTAGGCTTCAGGATTCTACATGGTGAGGAAGCCTCAGGCGGAATGCCCGGCCCGCCATACCGACACGCTTCGGGGTGCAACAGGGAGGAATTATTGACTAGGCAAAGGGTTGGAGGAGGAGAAGGAGGGCGGAGGAGGAGGAGGAGTGGGAAACGAGGGGGGGGAGGAGGAAGAGGAGGAGGACCAGTGTGAACCCAAGAGTCATCAACGATGTTGGAATGAACTTCCCTTCGCGCTCCCTCTTCAGAGGCCCTGGCAATGGTTCAGTTCCACTGAGGGAACTGCCTCGCTGGAAGACAAACCGTAAAGCATGCCAAAACATGATTATCGGGATTCCAACGCCACGGATCAACCTGGCTTTTGCGTCTTGACGATCCTGAATCGCGCCAGAGCACCATTCCTGGGACTTCAACACCGCGAATCAACGTAACTGCTGCGCCCTCATAATCCTGAACCCTTCCAGATACCATTTCTGGTACGCTGATCATGGGAATCCGTAAAACTCGTGCAACTTTTGTCTAGAACAAAAAATTGTCCTGGCGAAGGTCCCAACTATAGGCAGTTGTGGGTACCGTAATTGTGAATATCTGCTTCGGTGAAGCTCCCTCTGGGGCCACGAAGCGCTGCACTGGGCGGGGGGAACGCTGTACTGTGTGGGTGGTGTGCCGGATTGGGTTTCCGGGACGCATGCGGACGGCCCCACTGAGGGTTTCAATGGAGCTCCCTATGGGGCCACGAAGCGCTCTACTGAGTGAGTGAAAATGCCAAATTGGGCTACCGGGGCGCATGCGGACGGTCCCACTAGGGGCTTCGGTGGAGCCCCCTATGACGCCACGAAACGCTGCACTGCGCGGGTGAAAATGCCAAACTACATTTCCCGGACGCATACGGACGGTGGCAATGGGGCCTTGGGTGGAGCCCCCTATGGGGCCACGAAACGCTGCATTGGGTGAGTGGAAACGCCAAATTGGGCTTCCGGGACGCATGCGGGCGGAGGCACTGGGGCCGTCGGTGAGGATCCCTATGGGGCCACGAAGCGCTGTACTGGGTGGGTGAAACGCAGGGAGGAGGGGGAGGAGGGCCACGAAACGCTGTATTGGGTGTGCGGGACGCATGCGGACGGTAGCAGTGGGACCTTCGGTGGGGCTTCCTATGGGGCCACGAAACGCTGTACTGGGTGTGCGGGACGCATGCGGCCGGTAGCACTGGGACCTTCGGTGGAGTTCCTTATGGGGCCACGAAATGTTGTACGGGGTGGGTGAAACGCAGGGAGGAGGGGGAGGAGGACCACGAAACGTTGTACTGGGTGTGCGGGACGCATGCGGACGGTAGCATTGGGACTTTCGGTGGAGCTCCCTATGGGGCCACGAAACGCTGTACTGGGTGTACGGGACGCATGCGGACGGTAGCACTGGAACCTTCGGTGGGGCTCCCTATGGGGCCACGAAACGCTGTACTGGGTGTGCGGGACGCATGCGGCCGGTAGCACTGGGACCTTCGGTGAGGCTCCCTATGGGGCCACGAAACGCTGTACGGGGTGGGTGAAACGCAGGGAGGAGGGGGAGGAGGGCCACGAAACGCTGTACTGGGTGTGCGGGACGCATGCGGACGGTAGCAGTGGGACCTTCGGTGGAGCTCCCTATGGGGCCACGAAACGCTGTACTGGGTGTGCGGGACGCATGCGGACGGTAGCACTGGGACCTTCGGTGGGGTTCCCTATGGGGCCACGAAACGCTGTATTGGGTGTGCGGGACGCATGCGGACGGTAGGGAGGAGGGGGGGGGGCACGAGAGGAGGAGAACGCGGGGACCGTCTCTTCAAAACGAGGACCCAACACCACAGTATGGTTGGGAAAAAACACGAATGTGCGCGGCGCTGAGGCGAGAGCCACATTTTGAAAAATGAACCGCCCTCAGTCCGTGAAACCCTTGCAATTGGTGAGACCGAATGTACGAGGCACTCATGCGTGAGACACATTTTGAGAACGGGCCGCCCTCAATCCGTGAAACGTTTACAATGTTTTACAACGAATGTGCGCGGCGCCAAAGCGAGAGCCACATTTTGAAAACGACCCGCCTTCAATCCGTGAAACGATTGCCAATGTTTAACACGAATGCGCGCGGCACTAAGGCGATAGCCACATTTTGAAAACGACCCGCCCTCCATCTGTCAAACTGCTGCCCACTGTTTAGCTTCAGGGTCATAAATGGTGAGGAAATCTAAGGCGAAACGCCCGGCCCGCCCTAAGAATTGGCCTCGGGGTGCGACAGGGCGAAGTTATTTATAAGGAAAAGGAATAGTGGAGGAGGAGCAGGAGGAGGAGAGGGAGGGGGAGGGGGAGGGGAGGAGGAGGAGGAGGAAAAGGAGGGAAGAGGCAGGAGAGTAGGAGGTAGGAGGAGGAGAGGAGAAGGAGGAGGAGGAGGAGGAGGAGGAGAAGGGAGAGCATGTGTCCCTCCCCGGGGGGTTGGCGGGCAAGGGCCCCCCGCGGCAACGTCGGGCGCCACCGGCCAGGCCCCCTGGCCGTAGGGATGGGCTGCCGCGGGCTGGGCGCTAAGAGGCCCACCCGCGGGACATATAAGTGCCCGCGCTGGGCGGCCCGGCTGGGCGCGCCGCCCGACCATGGGGGCGCGTCATTCACGCGCCTCCTCCCTTCCTTCCTTCCGACCGCTTGACTGAAGCGGTCGGAAGGAAGGAAGGAAGGGAGGAGGAGGAGGAGGAAAAAAGGGAGGAAAAGGAAAGGGAGGAGGCAAGGTAGGAGGAGATGGGGAGCTGAGGGAAGAGAATGCGGAAGAGAAGAATGAAGAGGAGGAGGAGGAGGAGGAGGAGGAGGAGGAGGAGGAGGAGGAGGAGGGGGAGGAGGAGGAGGAAGAGGGAGAGCAGGTGCCCCTCCTTCTCCTCCTCCTCCTCCTCCTCCTTCTTCTCCTCCTTCGCCTCCTCCTGTCCGCCGAGTGCAGCCTGGAGGACTACATCAGGGAGCGGCGCGAGAGCCGCAGGATGATGTCCAAGGAGACCGTGCGAAACATCACAAAGGCGATCATCCAGGTCACGGCAGGCCTGCACGCCAAGGGTCTCGTGCATTTGGACCTGAAGCCAGAGAACCTTATGCTGTTTAACGGGGTGCTGAAGCTGATAGACGTGGATGGTTGCGTCAAGATCGGCACAAAAGCGTCGATCACGGACTCCTCGCTGTCCTTCTCCCCCTGCTACTGCTCCCCAGAGTGGGCCCAATTCCTCATCGAGGACTCTGGCGACCCCCACATCATAGTCAAGCCGTGCCTGGACGTGTGGAGCATCGGGATGACAATTCCCGAGCTCGTCGTGTGCGACGCTGTCTTGAAGCCGACGTACGCCAGTTTCTTGCGGCACGGCCGATCTCACAGAGAGGCAAGTTTCTTGTTCATGGATTGGCTAAGCTCCGTCAAGAAGCCGCCCATTCCCAAAGCCGTCGAGAAATTCGATCCGGAGCTGCGTTCTTCCAATGATTCCTCTCTGTTTGTATTGCCCCGTGCATGTCCAGCGCTTGCGCCTGCAGTCGCACCAGGAATCAGAAATTGCCCCCTCAACAGGTGCCCCCTGTAAACATCTTGATTCGCGAATCGAGGAGCATGTAAGCGAAAGGGGAAAAATTGATCGATTGAGCCGACAATCGCGCATGAGTTTCCCGCGTAAGGCCGCGCATACGCGCCCTCATCCCCACGCGGTGTGCCACGCCCGCGGCCCGCGTAAGCTGCGGCGTAAGGTCGCCGAGTCTTCTTGCATAAGACCCGCTTGCTTCCGTCTCTCACGCATGTCTCACAGTCAGCGCTTCCAGCGTCTTGTATCTCGCTCCCTGTTTGCGTACTGTTGTCTGATCTCGTCTGGTCACGTGCTGTCAATGATGGTGTGGTCGGGCGTGGTGTGCCCGGTGGATCTTGCCCGTATAGTTGAATACAGTAGTCGGTCAGGCTTTATCATGGACGTCATTCTGAGTGTGCAAGGTCAGCAACTTTCAGAGATGTTTTGTCTCATGTGATTGCTTCTCCTCCGCCTCCTTTCAATATGCATGAATATATACCTCTACGACCACCCTTCGGATGATGTGCAGGTTCGGGGGGGAAATCAACGTACCATTGAATCGATCTCACTATCGATCCCGCTGTCGATGTCATTATCGATATCACGAACGATCGCACAAATGACGATCGCACAATCGATCTCACGGTCGATTTCACGATCCCTCTTACTATCGCTCTCAGTAACGATCTCAAGATCGATCTTTCTGTCGATCTCACTAGCGATCTCACAATCGTTCTCACTAGCGATCCCAGTATCGATCTCACGATCAATCTCATTAAGGATTTAATTTCCGATTTCACCATGGATCTCACAGGAAACCACGAGACGCCAGCGGGACACCAATCGAGACAGCGCGGGACACCACGGCACACCACGGGACACCACGGGACACCATCGGGACACCACGTCCGGACACCCTGGGCACCCGCCCGCCACGCGGCTGGGGGCCGGACTTCTGTCCTCGCCGCGCCCTGGCCAGAGGAGGGCCCATTCCTCTCGCCTGCCCACGCAGCTTCGTTTCGCCCGCACGCACGACACGAGCACGAAACCAAAACCGAATTCCGGTGGGGGGCTCTCCGTTCTATTTCGATAGTACCCCGTCACCTCCGATATTTCCAAAAGGGCATCCGGCCCATCCCGCCACTGCGCTTGGGTTGTAGGTCATAGGCTTCTGGGATGTTCGTTGGGATGTCGCAGGAGGCATCTCGGGGGCCTCGTGGAGGCAATGCTGAAGCCTTTTGGGGGCAGTTTTTGGGCCGCGTGGGGGGTGTTTTGGGGACCTCGTGTGCCCCTTTTGGTGTCTTGGGGGATTGTAGGGGCCTCATGAGGGGCACCTTGGAGCGGAAGGCTCGGATTTTTGGTTCGCGTTCCCTCGCTTGGGCCCCTCTTGGGGCCGCCTTTGGCTCTCTTGGGTCGTCTTGGGCGCCTCTTGGGCTGTCTTGAGGCCCTCTTGGGCATCTGTGGGGGCCTTGTGGCGGTCTTGGGGGGGCCTCTTAAGCTCGAATAATTAAGAAGCCAAGGATTTGCCAATGATTTATCCGTATGGGGTCCTCTGAGGGAGGCTCTAGTAATTTTCTTCGGGCGTCTCGAAGGCTTGTTGAACCATCTTGTGGCCATCTTGGGCGTCTTGGACTGATCGTTCGGCGATTCGGGGCCCTCTTGGACCGTCTTGGGGGCCTTTTGGAACCCTCTTGGCCCCTCGTGGACCCGAACAAGTCATGCGACAAGCCGCGGCGGGCCCCAGAGGGCACGCGACAAGCCCCAAGAGATTTGAGATTCGATGTATGGGCCCCTTATAGAATCCTCTGGACCTGTAAACGATGTTTAAGGAGAGGCTGTCAAGCGAACGCTATATCCGACGTTGTCTTGGCTCAAGGCAGCGCTGTTCTATTTGCTAGGTGCACACGATTCTGTGCGTGCCATCTGGGAGTATCAGACAAATCCACGTCTATCGATGATCCACCTCTCCATCCCATGGCTTCTCTCTTACCTCTCGTCAGGCTTGGCATCAAGGGATGAGTTGTGGGATGCTTCGATACGTCGCCGACATTGTCCTAAGAGTAGGCGTTTCAGCTTTCGATTGCATGGTCAAGCCACGCACCCTTACTTTTCATTTGGTAGCGAACCGTGGTTACATCTTCATGTGGCTCGCCCTTTACATCAGGTGCTATGTCATAACATTTTACCACGGCACAGTGGAGTACCCGACTGCGCCGGCTCTCAGCCACTACGTTCCAAATACTATTGAACCAATTGGTAACCTACAGTCCTAAACTTTCATCCCCCCACCGCGTGGCCACACGCCACGCACGACCAAAGCACCGATACCTCTCCGCAAGCGGACGGCCACGCCAGACCAGACACCTCGGGATCCCTTCTGGGATCCCGCAGGCAACGCACCCTTCCGCGACTTTGCTCGCGACGCGAAGTACACGCATGGCTTAACGGAAGCATGACTCCACTTCAACAGGCCCCAGTTTTACAGCGCGGCCTGGGAGGATTGGCCAGGACATTAGCCCTGAGCCGTCCACCATCATCAACTATGGCGTCACACTACAGGGGAACGCACCGACGGAGTCACAGACATCATGTACCTAGCCAGCACCAAATTTGAAAACCTTGAGGACGAGCGACAGCTCACCTCAGGGACAGCCCTCATCGACTTCAGGGTCGAGATAGGGGAGCGCATCGAGTCAGCACTGGCCCGATTCGAGATGGCCAGGCTGGAAGCAAACTCAGCAGGCTTCAACATAACAAACTTCCAGATCCTTACCCTGATCTTATTCCAGGCTTTGGGGGTTGGAACCTCCCGAGCAGCACAGCTACTGCAACCGCTGAACCACCAGATGCCCCGCACTCAACAGCACGACAGAATCCTGGAGCGAACGCGCAGTCATGGACACTTGGCAGAGCGTTCCCCAGGGAACATTGGGGGCATCTTCAGCGGACGCAACGCTGGCACCTACCACGCCGAAATTACGCGACACACCGGCAGCCATGCCGAACAGCATCTGGAATGACGTAGAGCCCACTGAGTCCACGACGCTCCTAGGCCAAGAAGCCAACAACAACAACGAACAGACTTCTGGCTCAAGCATGGGCTGGCCGTCAGCGGCCAGCTATACACCACCTGGCGCGACAACCCTCTGGTCTGGGGCTCGCCCAGCCAAGGAGATGGCAACGTCTTCGGTTCCAGTGCGGACAGCGACGCGGTCTCCTCTACCGGGGCCGAAAACCTCGACGGGTCAGACCTACCCGCCTGTGATGGCGCAGCTACACAATACCTGCACCTAGGCTATCATCGCGCTGAAAGAAGGTTGAGGCGACATATGAAGTTAGGAGGCCCAGGCGAACCGCGCGTCGCGTCTTCTTTCGCAAAGGAAAGGGTCGCGGCGGAGGTGGTACACGCAAGGACATAGCCACGTTTCTGGCTCGATTGACCGACTGCGACTTTGAAGACCTATTCCTACGAGGTAAAAGCAGAGGAAAGGTCGCAGGCGTGCAACAGGCAAGGGCACGGGACGCAGGCTCGATCCAATGGGCAAAGGTGGTAGGAGGATGGCACGCAACGCATGCGACAGCGACGAGCCTGTCCAAGCACAATGCTCCAATGTAGGCGGGAGAGGGGGCGGATCCGCGCCCCCCGGCTCAGAGCAATCCGAAGCGGACATTATTGAGTACATTAATTTCCCCGAAATCGACCACCCCCCTGACTCCTAGCCCAGTTCTGCTTGGTTGTTGATGGCCCATTTTGCCGACGTTGCCTGCATGATGGGATCGAGGACCTGCACGACACGCCCATTGAGGACAGGATCGGCACGCGCCGGCACGGACACGCGCAGGAAGACTCCGACGACGACGGCGGCGACGACGACTGCAGGTCCGACGCGGAGATTATACCTGCCACCGACGCTGCAATAATAGAACAGCTCGGACACGAGCAGACATGGCTCCACCCGCTCCCAGCTCCAACGGCGTTCGGATTCACGGAGGAGGAGCGGGCTGCAGCGGGGCGGGGACAGACCCACGCCAACGCGTTTATGATGTGGGGCAAGTTTGGAAAAGCCCCCATTGGCTCGGGCGGCCCCTATAAAGGGCGTCAAAGGAAGCAGTCGCCGCGGCCGCGGCTCAGCGGCCCACTCCACAGCAGGCGCACCGTTAAAACATCAGAACGTCGCAGCGGCAACGGCGATGAGAGGCGGGCACGCAAGCGAGATCTCATCGACGCTCGCAGGGGTTATCGTTTATGCAAATGCCAGGCTCGCAGTCAGCATCGCGGCAACTGCCCAATGGACCGCCCATCTCGCTGCCCGCACCATGGCGAGGCGCATTGGATCTCCGACCGCGGCGGCGGCATAGGTGGGAGGGCGGCCACGCCCACTGTGAACAACATTCCATTGACCGACACTGAAGCCCAAGAAGCAGCAGATGTTTGGGAAGAGC